TGTCTTCCTGATCACCATGAATTGCTCAGCTCCAGCTGACCAGCGTGGAGCATCCCAGCGATTGAGATCCCAGTGGCTCTGGTATCTTGCTCATTATAACTGATGCTTCAGCCCCAGGCAACCAGAATCACAGAATCGTAATTCAAAATAGCAAACTTCACCAGCCAGGCCTCCATCTTCTGCATCGCCCTCAACATGCTTATCTTTCTACAGAAAAGGTCACCAAGCATTGAACACTCAGTGAATTTTTTTTCACAGAGTTCCACAATCCTCCCCCAAACAACATGGTCAGGTCTCTCACAGCAATATCCCATGATCCTGGTACCAATTTGTCTTAGTTAGGGTTTCTATTGCTGTGATGAAAAACACCGTGACCGAAAAGCAAGTTGCATGCTGATGTCTTTCGGTTTGTCCTCCTCTTTTTACAAAGACCCTTTACAAAGCTCCACCCAATGAGCTCACCTAATCCCATCACCTCCCCACAGTAGATTAAGTTTTCATCCTTTTAACAGCCCGCAATAAAGAGTTAGCCTTATTATAGGACAAATCATGTTCAAACCATAGCACCATGGTGTCTAGATCAAACGTGGAAGTTGCCGGGCCTCTTAGGTCAATGCCTGGACCCCCAGTGGTACCACATCTACATTCTGATGCTCAAAGCGAGTTATAATGCCAAGCCAGATTCAGAGGGAATGGAAATATATGGTCCTCTTTTGATAGCGAGAGAGACAGAAAGGAACAGATATTTTGGGGGGGGGTGTTGATACCTACCTTGGAAGACAGTGTGTCACACTGAGGCTACTTAAGAAGACATGAACTTGAAGCCAGGTGTTCTGCATTTGAGTGCAATCCCCGCCCCTCCCCCGCCCCCAATCCTTGTCTAGAAACCTTGGGCAAGCGGAAAGAGCTCTGAGCTGTAGATACTTACTCCCTTCCTCTTCCCATGAGTGCCAACTTAGTGAGCTCTTTGCCAATGAAGGATTGTTAAGAGGACACACCCCACTCCCTGCCCTCTTTTTTTGCTTTGATTAATCAGTACTTCTCTCTGCTCCTGGATCACCACCCCTACCTTCCTCTTCCACCTCCTTCTCCTCCTCCTCTTCCTTTTCCCTATTCGTTTAAAGGACTGCCTTTGGACTACCATGTTTTCTGGCCCCACTTTCCAGAATGTCACTGTGACAAGCCCCAGCCTCTTCCCTGGGACTGCTGTGAGCAGGGATGCAGATTCTTTCTAAGCCAGGGTACCAGGACAGGAAGGAACTTAGGGACTGATTTGGCCATGTGCCTTGAGGCAGAACTACCTCACCTAGAGAGATCTCCTGCCCTTGCCATGCCTGGTGCCAGGCTAATTGAGCTCAAGAGTCCACCGGTGGAAGGCCATCAGCTGGGTCATTGGCCTCCTGAGCTCCTCTCTGCTACATGCTTCGTTGCACCCAAGGCTAAGTATGGTGAAGCATCTTCCACTTGACCTGGGGGCTAAGCGGCCTACCGGGTTTACCCAGCAGCCCCTGCTTGTGGTCTCCTTAGTCTCCCTTCCCAGGCTTCTCAACCCTCACCCAGCTACTGCCTGTCATCCTCTGTCCTCCCTGCACAGAAATTATTTTTATAAACTCCTCCTTGACTGAAGAGCCACTTTAAAGCATTTAAAACACCACTGCTCTCTCCTAATGAGAGGGAGAAGAGGCGCTGAGGCACTAAATTCTCCAGAGCTTTGCAGTGGCGCTCTGATGCTGTGCTCTCTGGAAATATTTCTCTCCCAGCAACAGACAACATATTGGCTGGGGAGTACCCGAGCCTATTTTAGAACAGCCCCCTGAGTGCGATGTCTCCCCCTGGCAGAACTTCCAAAGTACACTCTGTCAATACCCCAAACTTCAAACGTGGAGTGTGCAGTGTGCATGGGAACACGACGCTGAACGCTGAATGCTGGTTTTCATCATATCACCCCAAATCCTTCATGGGTCTCATTCCAAGCCAGACCCCGAGAAAGAGACAAAATCACACTCCTGTCTTAGCTCATCCTAGACAGAGTTCCCAATGCCCTGCTCCTCAGGAAGGATAAGGTGAATTCTTCTGTTAGCCCTGAACCCTGCCAGGTACTTTTAATACCAGGGCTAGAATGTGCTCCCCCAAGTCTGTGTGTTGGTAACTTAATCCCCTAGTGCGAAAGGGTTGAGAGATGAGAATTTCCAGGCTGAGGAGACCACGGGGACAGCAGCTCCTAGATTAATGATGAACTCTGCTATCATGGAAACAGACGAGTTATTGTGAGAATCGATTCTAGGCAAAAGGATGACTTTCCTCAGCCTTCCAGCCTCAGGCATGTCCATCTTCCTCAGGCTGGTGCCCGTCTGTCTTCCTCCATGACGTGATGCAGGGTAAAGGGCCTCATTGGATCTTAACCATCAGTACCTTGGCATTGGACTCTCCAGCCTCCAAGACTCGTGGGCCAAAAAACAATCAATCAATCAAACAAACAATCCTCCTGTTTATAAATTCCCCAGTATTGTGGTTTGTCATTGAAATGTCCTCCCATAGGCTCATGTGTTTGAATACCTGCTCCCAGCTGGTGGCACAGTTTGGGGGAGATCAAAGAACCATTATGACTCAGGGACTAGCTAGCAGGCATAGGTCCTTGGGGATGAGTCTTGAAGGTGACTCCTCTCCTGCTTCTGACCTGAGCTTTCTGCTCCCTGACCTATCCAGAAGTGAGCGGACCACAGCTGCCAGAGGTGCCACAGCCACAGGCAGAGCTGCTCTAGCACTTTGCCTTTTCCACCATGACGGACTGCTACCTCTGAAACTGTGAGCCCAAACAGACAGCCCCTCTCTTACGCTGTTTCCCTCAGGTATTTTGCCTCATTGCCAAGAAAAGTAATCCACCCAAGTCTGTGGAATCCTTTCACTGCATAAAATCCCATGGGTAACCTGCAAAAAATGAACTAGGGGAGCCCTGGGATTGTAACTCTGCTGTTCCTATACCGTCTCGCCCATGTTGATTACAGGGCCCTTGTTCTCAGGACCCTTATGCAGCTCGTGAAGGGAGTTTGCCTGGCTGCACCAGGTGCCTGACATCTCTCAGAGACGTTTCACCTGGAGAGAGGGACTGTTCCTGCAGACACCAAGGCTTTACCTGATGAGACCCCAGCAGTTACCTGCCTCTCAGATATCCTCTACACAGCAGTCCGGCCACCCACAGAGCCCTTTGTTCCTCTCAAGTCCAGTAAGCACAGACCGTGGGAGCTTCGGGGGGCTCCATCTGATCCTGGAACCAGCCACTGTGACTAGTTCCTTCCTCTTCCCCACTGTGTGTGGGTGAGGCCCCATCAGGCTCAAGTTCACATCTCTTCCTCTAAACACACACCAACTTCCTGTCTCTTGCTTAGACTCGAATACAGTCCCCTTGTGCACCTCCTTGCTTCAAACAGCACTCGCTTGGGTCTGCTATTTACAATGAAGCCAGGGCGGCCTTTCCAAAACCACAAAGCATGGCCTTCAGGCTACTCAGGGCCACCCAATATGTCTCTTTATTTTCTTTGCCACATGGAATGGGGACAAGGGGGTCACTGTCAGGCTTAGATGATAACATGCATATGAAACTTCTATTGTGTTCCTGAAAAAGGTAAGTCTGCAATCTAACTGAGCTACTGACCAGTTTACAATGCCCCACACCCAAAAGTCCAGTCATTTTTCCCCAATGCCTTGACCCTTCCCCTCCTGAGCTCGGATCACTCCTGTCTGTCATTCAAGTCTGATGTAGGATGTCATTTCCTTTAAGATGTCTTCCTGGACTCCGGCTGCCTGTGTTAGACGCTGATTCCGTGGGTCACTGCTCTGAATTTTCTCTGCGGAAAGACCTTTCACCTTGAATCACGATAGTAGTCCACTTGTCTGCTTCAGGCACTGCCCTGTGAAGCCCCAGAGAGTGGGATCTGCATCTCCCAGGTGACTGGCACTTCTGGGTGAGGAGGAAGCCTTCAGAGTGGGAACTGATGAAGGCCTAGCCAGTCTATGTCCCTGTCTCTGCTGCAAGACCAGCTTCGTACAGCCTTGAGGATGTCTTCATGCAGGGGGAAGGCAGGAAGAATAAGTGTCAAGCACCAGGGACTGGCGTTCGCTGACAAGTGCTTCGGGCGTGATCAGGACAGACAATGAGCAGGCTGAGTGCCGGGAGGAGAGAGCTATCACCGTGGGCACATTGAATATTGTTGAAATAAGTGGGCCATCGGCTAGGCCAGGGAAATTGCTTTTGTCATATGGAAAGTTTCACTGCCGTGGTCCTTGCATTAGCAGGATCTGACTGGTAATACTGAGCACATACAGGACCTCTGTGATTCCTCGGCACTTACCGTCTCTTCCTGAAATGCAGCGTAGAAAAAAAAAAACAATTGTTAGGAGATTGGCATCTCCAATTTCCTGTCTCAGGTCGTCAGTTGCTCCTGATCACAACTCCCCACTATCCCCTGCCTCAGCCAAAGTGGGCAGGAGCCTCTAGCCAGGAAGGACTACGGCCATCTGAGATACGTGTGAGCCTACCTGGCCCAGGCCCAGGACTCCAGATTTTCTGTAGTCCAGAGATGCTGGTGCAGCTGAGCACAGGCTTAGGACGGGAGGGAGGACAGTCCTTGCCTTCTCACAGCTCCTCCGTGCTGGTGGGAGGACTCGCGCAGTTCAGAGGAACACTAGAGCCGCCTGCTCTCCTGCTGGAAGGAAATGGAGGGCACATTTCAGAACTCCTCTGCTGGAGACCTCGACACCTCCAGCTCTAACCAGTTCTTCCTCTGTCCCTGTGCTGAAGGACACCCAGCACCCAGCCTTACCATCCTGGTTTAATGTGTCTTGCTTCCTCGCCCCACCGTGTTCTGTGCCACCCCAGGACAGTGTCTCCACCAGCCGTAGCAAGCTCCTCCCAAGGATTCCCACCATCCCTCCATCTCCCCACGCCTGCTCCTTTTCTTTCTTGTGTTAGCTCTTTGGATGAGAGCACCGCTAAACGTTACCTTCTCCCTCAGAGTCTTTAGTTGATGAAGCGCCTTCACATAACTCATCGCGGCTCTACAGCCAATCCAGCATGGTGGCCAGGAGGGCAGGGAGTGTCATTCCATGTTTGGATAGTGAAGTGCTTCTAAAACCCAAAGCTTGATCACACGTTTCGTGGGGGCTTGGTTAGTGACTAGTCTCGGTTTTGTTTCTTGTCGCTGCAATAAGATACCACAATGAAAACAACCTAAAGGAGACAGGTTTATTTGGCTCATGATGTCAGGTTAACGTCATCACAGGAAAGCCAAGGTCATAGGAATGTGCAAGAAGAGACACATCCACAGTCAAGAGTAGAGAGCAACGGACTGACAGCTTCATGCTAGAGCTCTTATCTATTCACATACAATCGCGCATTCCCCCACCTAGGGAATAGTGCCACCCACAGTGGGCAGCACTTCCCCACATCAATTAACATAATTACGAGACTCCCCTACAGACCACCTGATCTAGGAGATCCCTCCTTAAGAATCACTTTCCCAGTGATTCTAGAATGTACTAAACTGGTGGTTAGCACTGGGAATCATAGTGACCACTCCGAGTATAGACTCTAATCTATGCCCGCTTTTTAAGATCATGATTCATAGTAAGAGGTTTTTCAATCAGGACACAGCACACACATTCTTGAAACAAGTTTTCATAAAACAACCCCCTGCTGCATGCAGAAAGCCTTACCTTCCCATATTCTCTGCCCACTATCAGGTCACAATCTCCTCTCTCACTCCATCTCTCAGGCCCTCCCTGTACCACCTCCCTCCAGCTCCCCAGCTCCGCTTCTCACCCAGCTCTGTTTTCCTCACTCCCTTCCTCAGCCTGACTCACCACTTTGCACTTGCAGGCATGTTGCCTTGCAAGCATTTTGGAGTCCTCGTGTGTTGCTTCCAATGTAGGTCATGAAGCAGGTGAGAGGGGACTGCTTTCACACTGGCTCTGCATCCTCTTGCAATAAGGTCTGATACAGGTGCCAAGCCAGATGCCACTCTTGACGCTGTCCCTGGCCCCATTCCAGTCTCTCCTGCCTTTAGTCTCAGACCAGTACCTTCCTCCCCAACTTTCCTGTGGGGATCTTCAAGGACCTTGACTCCACATTTCACAGATAAGGCTCTCACTGTGATTGACTGAGGCTGCAGATGACCGGTATTTGTTAGGTAGAAAGAACTAGAAACACAGTAGTATCTAGAGATGGTGGTGCTAAGCCTTGGTGGAGGAAGGGGGATGAGGTGAAGAGGCAGGGTTCAGCTGGGGTGGCCACTTAGTGGGTTCTGTATGCTCTTCAAGCTGATCCCCAATGACAGGGTTTTTTAAATGTATTTATTTCTTTATTAATTAATTAAAGATTTCTGTCTCTTCCCCACCGCCGCCTCCCTTTTCCCTCCCCCTCCCCCAGTCAAGTCCCCCTCCCTCGTCAGCCCAAAGAGCAATCAGGGTTCCCTGCCCTGTGGGAAGTCCAAGAACCACCCACCTTCATCCAGGTCTAGTAAGGTGAGCATCCAAAATGCCTAGGCTCCCACAAAACCAATAGGTGCAGTAGAATCAAAAACCCATTGCCATTGTTCTTGAGGTCTCAGTAGTCCTCATTGTCCGCTATGTTCAGCGAGACCGGTTTTAACCCAGGCTTTTTCAGACCCAGGCCAGCTGGCCTTGGTGAGTTCCCTATAGGACATCCCCATTGTTTCAGTGTGTGGGTGCACCCCTCAAGGTCCTGAGTTCCTTGCTCGTGCTCTCTCTCCTGGTGCTCCTGATTTGGACCTTGAGATTTCAGTCCGGTGCTCCAATAAGGACAGGTTTTTGACTGGCACCTCCTTCCCGGGGAGTCTCTACTTTGCAGTCACAGGATCAGCTGTCATCTAGCCAGAATTTTTGAGGTCTTTCTGGAATCTTCCCACCTCCATCATAGCCTGGTTAACAGGCATCATTACCCTCGGTTCCCAGAGAGGGAAACTGAGGCTGTCGGGGGCTTTGAAAAGACAGTGAAACTGGCCATGGTGGTCCACATGTGTAACCCCAGCTCTCTAGAGTCAGAGCAGGAAGATCATTGCTATGAGGCTAATACAGACTGCATAGTGAGAGCCCCGTCTCAAAATGATCAAGAAGAACAGGCTGAGGAGATGGCTCAGTGGTTAAGGTGCTTGCTGCTTAAGTGTGAGACCTGAAGTTCGGAGTCCCGGAACCCACATAAAGTGATGGGTGGGTGTGGTGGCCCACCTCTAACTCCTGACTCTAGGGGATTCCTAGAGCAAGTTGAGTCATATGGTGGGCTCTGGGTCTGAGAGAACCCTCTAAATGATTAAGGTGTAACTATGAGGAAGGACAACTCTTGACATCAACCTTGGGCCTACACATGCACGTACATTTGTATACATACCTGTGTGTTCACAGATGTGCAAACATTCATGCACTACACTAAACAAAATGGAAAAAGAAAAACAAAACAAAGATCAGAATTTATTGCCTTTTTCCTCTGACAGCCACTGTTTAGAACTTGGGGAGACATAAATAATTTGAATGTTGTATCCCCCACCATGCTCTGATTTGGGTGCAACTGAGTCCAGCTGCATCATGGGTAAAACATACTCCTGCATAACCCTAGTCACTTAAGTGTGATCTAGACACCATTAGAAGGGTCTGTGCATGTAAAATCACCTTGCAGGTAGACCTCTGGAGAGCAATAGGAAGGGGACTCCACGTGAGAGAAGATGGCGATGAAGTCATACCACCATAGGAGTCGAGGCTGGGAACCAAGACAACCACACTCCTCACAGTCTTTGCAAGCTTCTCTGTTTCTGTGACACTTTCCATGTCCCCGATGAGTAAGGAGGTCACACCTGTGTGGGAAGACTATCACATCAGATAATCAGCGTCCCTGTTGGCATTTAGCGACTTGGAAACTCATAAAAATGGTGTGATGGTTAATATTGCCAACTCGATGGGATCTATAACCACCTATGAGACAAATCTGTGGGCATATCTGCAATGGAGTTTTTAAGATGGGCTTAACGAAGGCAGCCAAATCCACTGTAAATGCAGGCATCACTAGCCCGTGGACTGGGGTCCTAGACGACATAAAAAGAAGAAAGCAAGCCACATACCGGCATCCATCTCTCCCTCCTGACAGTGGATGTCATATGCGCTACACTGACCATCTGCCTCATGCTCATTCCTCCATGACTCGCTCACCTCAGACTGTGAGCCAGAAGTCCTTCCTTGCTTCCTTGCTTCCTTCCTTAAGTCACATTGCTGGTTATTTTGCTTCAGCAAGGAGGAAAGTCAGTAATACAGATGGTGAGTTTGGTGGACCTAGAACAGTGGTTCTCAACCTTCTTCGTACTGCGACCCTTTAATACAGTTCCTCATGTTCTGGTGACCCGTCAACCATAAAATTATGCTTGTTACTACTTCATGACCGTAATTTTACTACTGTTTTGACTCATAATGTAAGCATTTGATATGTGGATGGTCTTAGGTGACCCCAGTGAAATCTCAAAGATTGAGAACTGCTGGTGTAGAGGACCTGTCTATCTTGGTCATCATCACATTTTTTAGTTGTTCAACACATGGCAGAAACTCTGCCTGTGCTGACGAAATGAGGTAAGCAGAAGCCTGGGACTCAGCTCCTCTTTTACAGACAGCAGGATGGACTTGGAGAACAAGACTGACACATGACATTTTAAAGATACCAGTGAAGTTCCCTTTTGTAGATACTGTGGTAGTTCAAATGTAATTATCTCCCCCCCCACATAAGCTCACAGAAAGTGGTACTCTTGGGTGGTGTGGCTTTATTAGATTAGGTATGTCCTTGCTGGAGGAAGTGTGTCACTGTGGAGGCAGGTTTTGAGGTGTCATGTATGCTCAAGCCATGCCCAGTATCTCAGTCCACTTCCTGTTGCCTTCTGATCAAGATGTAGCCAGCACCGTGTCTGCCTGCATCCTGCCATGTCCCATCATGAGAATAACTGGGCTGAGCCTCTGAACTGTAACCCACCCAATTAAATGTTTTCCTTTATAAGAGTGCCGTGGTCATGGTGTCTCTTTACAGCAATAGAAACCCTAACTACGGCAGATACCATTCATGGACCAGTGACTACGATAGTGACTGTCAGTGATTCCCACAGAGCAGGTACTTTGTGAAGAGCTGTCAGCCTCAACTTCCTTAGTTGCCCACTGACACCCTGACTAAGTATCACCAGCTTCCATCTGCAGATGAGGAAACTGAGGCTCAGGGAAGTTAAAATGTTACCAGAGGTTACATAGAAAGTAAAAGATAAGCCTGCACCGACCCCTGCTGTCAGGCCAGAAAGCTGGAAAGCCAAGGGTTCCCACACACTGGCTACAAGATGGGTTCGCCTCAGTATTGCCTTCCTCACCCACTTTCTGATGATTAACCCGATTCAAGGCAAATCTTGCAGGGATCGGTGAGGGCCTCTCCTTTCTGTCACCAATGTGGACTCTGAGAAGCACTGGAGAGCGGACTTCAGGGAGGCAGATGTGGATGGATGAGGGACAGAAGTTTATTAGAAGGAAAAAAAAAACTGCTCATGGCCCCTAGGGACAGCTGCCTCTGACCTCAGCCTCCTTTTTCATCTTTAATTTCTGTGAGTCTGGGAGTCAAAGCCATCCTCATTCCTCATGCAGAGCCTGGAGTCACTGCTGAGCTGAGTTTTCTAAGAGTATAAAGACATCAGTTCATCCTGCCCCACTGTGATCAGGGAGAACGGAGTGGGGACAGCCAATACCTGTACAGATGCTGTCCCAGTGCAGGGCTGATGATGCCTGGACAGACCTTGTCCATGGTCTTGGCCTTCTCCAGCCAGGCGTCAGGGTTGCTATTTCTTGACACTCAGAGCCCCAGCTGACCCATCCCAGTAGCCTACTAGAGTGCTGACCACAACAGATGGGACACTGTCCCCAAGACCTGAGGTTGCCCCCTCTCCTGTGTTCTTCAGTGCATGCTTGCTCTTAATCTCTGGCTCATTCTTGCAGACCATAAGCTAAAGGATTCCCCAACTCAAGG